CATTGGTTTCATCCAGAAGAGCCTGCAGCTGATTGGCCACCACCCTCTCAACTACCTTGCTGAGGAAAGAAACATTGGCGACGGGCCTATAATTACCAATATTGTCTGCCACCAAGCTCGGTTTCTTTCTAATTAGCCTAATGAGTGTCTCCTTGAGAGAGAGAGAGACTTTCCTGGAGAGACCCATTAATTATTGCCATAGCCCATTCGGATGTTATAACACTGGTTATTCAGATGGTAAAACACCTGAGTACTGTCTCCCCAATAAACACAGAAGAGGGTCACGATAAGTCAGAACCAACTTGACAGCACACACTAATTATTATTAGAATGACTTGCACTAATCATAAACATAAGTAGCTCTCCTCCAGTTTATCTTTTTCATTCTGTCAACCTGATGCTCCAGTTTATTCCGAAGACCTTTGGTGTTCCTCCATCACTGGATTGTTTTATGTCTCCACTTCTCTTTCTTGTGGCTTCCTCCTCCTCCTCCATTCCTATTTGCTTCTCTCGCACGCTCCACTGAAGATCCCAAATAGTTATTTTTAGCCTCGCTCCAACCACTGCCCCAGGCCTCCTGACCAATCTGCGGCAGAACGCTGCAGAGTCAAAACGCATCGACAAATTCCAGCTGAACCCAGTCTCCCCCTGACTGCATAGGAGTGTCTCTGAAGATGAGTAGGGTTGATGAAGGACACTGCAGGGCATTTCCAAAGACAACACTCTTGAAGCCATTTAATGAAGAATGGTACAATCCCACAACACCAAGACAGAATGGCCTTTTTTCAAAAGGAATAACAGAGGTGTCAACATTATTGACTTCCACTGCTTCTGTTTTTCTGCTTCACCCAGTGAGTGAGGAAAGAGATAGCATTCTCATACATGGGGATCATAGTGTATGAGTGACTATTCCTAGTTTGAAGCCATGTAAGGTTTCAGACAGAAGAACATCCAAAGAATCACACCGGATTAGATCAGTGCTTGTACAGGACAACATTTGGTTACCATAGTGGCTAGTCAGATACTTAGGAAGCCAACAAACAAGACACTATAGACAATGCCCGCCTTCTAAGGGTGCCTTCCAGATGCTGACCGTTGTTGAGCAACATCCAGGTCTCCTTTCTTGCAGATGTTATCAAACCTGGATTGAAGAGCCATCAGACACAGGAGTGACCACTGGGAGCCAGTAAAAGAAAGGACTGACTTCTGGAGCAAATACATGGTCACCTTAGCTAATGTGCTGCTCTTGTTAAAAATATTTTTACTCTGCCTTTTACCTATAAAAACCCAAGGTGGCTTATATCATTAAAAGACAATATCTAAAGCTAAGAACAGTAAGTATACAAATAGGATCAAACAAATACTGCACTAAAAGATGATAAACAAAACAATCTATTTACAAACCCCACTCAAGCAGCCAGTCATTATAGAAAAGCTTGCCTGAAGAGAAAGTTTGCTTCTGCTTGAAGAAAGAAAGCAAGGATGGGGCCAGCCAGGCCTCTTGTGGGAGGGAGTTTCAAAGTCTGGGAGCAGCCACAGAGAAGGCCCTCTCCTGTGTCCCCACCAAATGCACCTGTGAAGGTGGTGGGACCGAGAAAGAGGCCTCCTCTGATGATCTTAATATCCAGGCAGGCTCATAAGTTGTGTCAAGAGAAAGATGAGTCTGTTCAGAATTGGCAGGACATCACACATCCGCCTGCCTGTATGTGTGTGTGTGTCTGTATACAAGAAAATCACTTTTGGTGTGTGAGGCTCAGCCCATCTTTATTGTCCTTCCACAAGCAAGCAAAGACTTTTCTCTACAGGCAAGCTTTCCTTGAGTGACTGGCTGCCTGAGTGGGGTTGTTAAATGGACTGTTGTGCCTTACGGCTTTGAATATGTTTTGGCATTATTTATGTTTTTTACTATTGTATTTGTTTGATCTTTTTTCATGTGGCCAACCTGCTTGAGGCTCAGCCCATCTTTATTGTCCTTCCACAAGCAAGCAAAGACTTTTCTCTACAGGCAAGCTTTCCTTGAGTGACTGGCTGCCTGAGTGGGGTTGTTAAATGGACTGTTGTGCCTTACGGCTTTGAATATGTTTTGGCATTATTTATGTTTTTTACTATTGTATTTGTTTGATCTTTTTTCATGTGGCCAACCTGCTACTCTCTCTTTTTACTATTGTATTTGTTTGATCCTTTTTTCATGTCGCCAACCTGCCACTCTCTCTAGCTAGGTGACAACACGTAGCCATGACTTCCGTTCTTGTCAATTCACATGATCACAACCTTCATTTTGCTTTTGAAAAGCCACATACAAAGAGGTGGGGAGAAGTCATAGGTTGATTCTTCTATACTGGATTAAGCTGGCCACTTGTGCATTACCAAAAGTTGGACACGAAACCGACTTACTCCGATTCCAGAAAGGCTAGGTTGATTCTTCTATACTGGATTAAGCTTCTGCATCACCAAAAGTTGGACACGAAACAGACTTACTCCGATTCCAAAAAGGTTGGGGAAAAATGTGAATTGGGTGATCTGTATACCTGCTGAGTGTGCTGTTCAGGTGCTCATTGTGGATGAGGGTCTTTGAGATCCAAAGTTGTCCCTCTTTTGGATTCTGTATCTTTAAATCAGATTTGGTCTGGGCAGCCATTCCAATGGTGGGCATCTTCAAAACAAGGACAGTCCTCGGGAAGGTTTAAAACAGAAAAATCTTCTTGCTAAAAGAGGGCATATGGAGAACCTAGACTGGATGCCTTCACCGTGGAAGGAGGAATCTCCTTGAGGCCCAGCCTTTGCAAAGCTATCAAGGAGAGCAGCTGCTTCAGCTGCTTTCCTCTTTCCTTGTTGGCTCCTGTCGTCTCAATTATTAACAGCCCAATTGTGCTGGCTCATTTTTGACGTCACTGTGGGCTTGTGCTCGCAGGCCACCCTCCCCCATCACTTTTCCATGGCTGAGAGATGGAGAAAAAGACACGTAAATATGGAGGCAAAACAACCTGAAAAGACTCCTATAACACAAATCTTTTACCTTCACATCCTTCTGGGTTTCTCCATCTTATCTTTGCACTTTTACCTTCCCAGTTCATCCTCTCTTCCAGTTAATCTCACACTTCCTGTATTCATTTGCCTCCCTTTTTTTGATTACTACTGTATTGCCTTATTGGATGGATAGTTATTTTTTGCAACAAAGATTTGTAACTCCCCTCTATTCTTCTCCTATTATTGTACTGTTATTTCAATACATTTACAGGTCTATTCTTCAGTTGTGTGATTATATACACAAGGGCATAATCAAATGCGCTCTCACACATACATTTACAGGTCTATTCTTCAGTTGTGCAGGTGGATATATTTATATACACAAGGGCATAATCAAATGCTCTCTCACATACAAACCCTAGCTGTTATATTTTAATCTGTAAAATTAAAGCCTACTGAATGGCAAAATTAAATTCAAAGAGTAAATATAGCAGGGTAAGTCCTGTTATCAAGCAGAGCGAGGCAGCAAACCCAAGTAGCAAATTGTGGGTGTCACAAAAGGGCAGGATTTTTCTTTTGGTGGGATTTCTTGCCTCAGGTGACAAATAACTTGGCTATCTTCTCCTACCATGCTCCTTGACTTAGATTAATGATAATTGCTAGTAGCTGCTCTGCCTCAGGCAGCTAAACCTCTTGGACCATTTCTGACCATTACCATAATTTTCAGTAGGGAAATGTTTGATTTATTCTGGCATAAAGTAAATGACTTACAAAAATTAATAAACTCAATGTAGTCTTAATAAGAATAATATTACCTTTATTTCTTACTATCAGTTTGATCTCTTCAATTATATTGTAGTTCAAATTTCCTAAAGAGACTATATATCATCTTATTTTAATACAATGTGATCATGTGCTCTTCACACAACGTACTACTGAATCAAGTCAGTTTCAGTTGATATGTGATTATTATTCCATATACACCTTGTAAATATGATTATTGTTCTTGTGTAAAAAGTCTTGAGGTTTATAGAGACTTTTGAAAAATGCAAATTGAAGCCTGGATTTCCAACCTAAAAGAGAGAATACAAAGGGGCCAGGCAAGGTTTAAGAAAGGAAGCTAATTCAACATGTAGTTATATTTCTTTAACCATTCTTTTCACATCTGTTTCACAATAGTCCTTGCTTCAAAAAAGAAAAGAAAAAAACACTTTTGCAATAGGCATTGGTAAAATAAAGATGGCACGTTTGGGTAACCCTCTAAAGATCACTATCAAACAGTATCCCAGCATTTTTATAATTTAAAGAAAAGAGCCTAAATTAAATGCAACTGAAAAATGCAAATTGAAGCCTGGATTTCCACCCTAAAAGAGAGAATACAAAGGGGCCAAGCAAAGTTTAAGAAAGGAAGCTAATTCAGCACTTAGTTATACAGTACTTCTTTAACCATTCTTTTCTTTTCTTTTATAAAGAAAACAGCCTAAATTAAATGCAACCAAAGTTCAGTCAAACTGTACTGTACCTTTTTCCCCTCTTCAAAGTAGATCCCAATAAATTCTAGTCAGGTGATCTAATTAAGCCGTGTGAACAGGTTACACGAAAACACGTGTGTGTATTTCTTAGGACACGGCACATCCGAATTCTTTATAAGCCCTTCTATCAAATTCCTCACGAGTGAAGATGCCTCAATGGTGCAAAATAGAAGGAGGGAAAAGAAAACCACAATACCCATAAGCCTTTGCGCATGCCTCTTTTTTTCTGAGCAGCAGGTGCATCCATCCGCAAGCAGCTCAGCGGCAACAAAAGCGCATGCGCACAACGGGCACTTTCCCCCTCCCGGCCGTTGCGTTCAGGTTGGGTACCATTTTTTTTGTCACCGGCCACGAGCTGTGTTGAGCGAAGCCTTAGTAGGGGTTGGCACTGCGCATGCGCGTCAGGCAACTGACAGGTACCGCTTGCGAGCGAGTCCTGTGGCGCAAGAGAGCGCCGGGGGCGTGTCCACTCAGAGATAAGAACCGAGGAGAGCGCGCCGGGAGGGGGGGTTAAGGCGTTGCCTGGCAACGAGGGGGTTCGTGAGTATATAAGCAGCCTCCCGGCCGTTGCTCTTGTTCGACAGCGCCCAGGTTCTCGGTTGGATAGACTTGGTGAGTAAGCGGCTGAGGGAATACAGGGGTTTATGTGGGTTGGCTTCAGTCTGGAGATGGCGGAGGCATTATGTGGGGAAGATGGAGGCAGGATAACGGAGAGAATAGGAGGGGGCGGGTTGTGTCTGAGGTGGCCTGGGTTGTCCAGGTGAGGGCTGGAGGGGGCTTTCTTTAAAGAAAGGATCCTGTCAGGTGCTAAGTATTTTCAGGAGATAAACTAGGTTTGCTGCAAAAACCAAAAAAAGGATGGAATGATCTGAGAGAGGCCGTCGTGTTTTATGGTAAATTGAGGGGTGGGGCGGGTCTGAAGTCGGGCGGGTTGTGTCTGAGGTGGCCTGGGTTGTCCAGGTGAGGGCTGGAGGGGGCTTTCTTTAAAGAAAGGATCCTGTCAGGTGCTAAGTATTTTCAGGAGATAAACTAGGTTTGCTGCAAAAACCAAAAAAAGGATGGAATGATCTGAGAGAGGCCGTCGTGTTTTATGGTAAATTGAGGGGTGGGGCGGGTCTGAAGTCGGTTTGGTTTCAAAAAAAAAAAAAAAAAAAAAGGATGGAAGAGGAATGATCTGAGAGGCCGTCATGTTTTGTGGTAAATTGAGGGATGGGGCGGGTCTGAAGTCGTTTTGGTTTCAGACAAGCCTTGCATCAAGTTTTAGGAAAGGGTTTGCCTGGGGCTCAGCAAGATGAGTTGGGGGGGCAACGTTAGGGGGTTTGCCTTTAGAGAGATGAATGATGTTTTGAGATTCATGTTCTGCAAAGAGAATATGCTGCCTTCCAATAAGGCACAGTAAAAATATTGCAAGCTAGAATTGATGTGATGATGTTTTGGGTGGCCAGGTGTGCAGCTTTTGTGGCTGTACAAGGACTAGAAGGTTTAAATGAGGTTAAGACAGAGGAGTCACTCTGACCCTGAGGGGGAGGCGAACCACAGATGGAGGCTGCCTTTCTGGATGGAGGAAGATCCTAAGGGAATCCTGTAACTGGTTTCATGGGTTTCGGGGTGGAGAAGTGTCCTGGAGGGCCTGGTAGAAGGTAAATGGTGGCGAGTCCCCCCCCCCCCGTGACTTCATTATGGAGCTCGGAGGGCTTTGTGAAATTTTACATTATTTGATGCAAGAAGTGCAACTTTTGGCATTCTGATGAAGGGAGACAGTCTCAAGATGTTACAAGATTAGTCTTGCTTCTTTGCTACTAGTAGTTGTAACGGATTTGGGCACAGAAGCTTTTGCTCCCTCTCATGAGACAGAAGAGAAAGGATTAACATGCTGTTATATGAGGAGGCGTCGAGAATGGGAGATGACTATGCAGATTCATCTGCTGATGTTACCATGCATGGATGTCTCTAAAAATGCAACTGCGTCAGAAAAGCTGGAGAGCCCCATTTTATGGGTCTGTGAAGGGTGTTGCTTCTGCCCTCTTTCTATTACATAAAGGAAGGACATGCTTTTAGCTATTGCTTAGAGGAATTTCATCAAAGCAGACATTTTGGTTTTTGTTATTTTTTCCCCACAGCCCAGGCACCAGAGTGTTTTTCAACACAGGCCATCCTTTTTGAGGGAAAAAGCTAGGTGAGAATTGAGTTGTAAAAGTGCCCTGCCCTTGCATATCAGTTTCAGGTGAGAGAAGTATGCTGTGCAATTTGCCAGCTGGGCAACTTAATGCCTAGAGAGCTTTTGCCTAGGCAGAGAGAGAAAAGCAAAGACCCTTGTTGCCTAGTGAGTTAGTTGCTTGTTTGGAGATCAACTGCTAATTGTATGGATCCGTCCTGTTCATGTGACCATCTTGTCTGTGAGATTAGGAAGCAGTGATGTTCTGCGTGCAGGCAGGCACGCTTCAGCAAGCAGCCGCTGAAAGAAGGCCAGGATTCTTCCCCAGGGATTTTAGGAATAGAAAAACTGCTTCTTTACAATTAAAGTCATGGTCGAGAGGAGATAGCCTATCCTCCTTTCTTCTTAGTAGGAAACAGGCTGCATAATTGTGCATTCACTGCAACAAGGAGGCAGCAGCTACATTGCCCAGTCATAAAATGATTCCTTTCACCAAAAGGAGATAATGGAAAAAATACTGTTTTCTCTTATGACATCCAAGTGTTTGAAAGATTTTCTGTTTGAACTTATGTAGCAAGCACAAGATAGTACTAAACTCATTGACTAATTCAATTTCTCTCTAGCACGTTTAACCACACCATATTGAATAGGACTGAAATAAATGTGTTTGTACTTCTGCCATTGTCAAGGTCACAGCCACTGCAGCAAAGATGTGCTGGTTGTAAAATGCTTAGAGGCTGGGAGTACGTGCAGAAGCTGGGCTGGGCTGTGGTGTCTGCTTAATACGCTCTTGGGTAGGTTTGGCGCTCTGCTCCTGGCCGCCAAGTGTCACTGCAGCAACTGGATGCCTGTGGTGAAGATGCAGGAATATGTTCTTGTTGGCAATAGACAAAGGTTTCTGCCCAGAAGTGTTATTTGTACAGAAGGTCAGAATGATAACAAACCAAGAAAAGGAACAACACAAACAATATTAAGTCAGGCTGGAATTAGTATTTGTTGTGGTTGTTTTATAATTCAAAGCACAGTGATGAACATGAACAGATCTACATGAACAGAAGATTCTGGAACTGCAAGAAAAATGGGGGAAATACCCTAGTTTCTGGTATTTTTCATTTTTACAGCTGTGCTGTGAAATGAAAGAATACTGTTGCTAAAATAGGCTATTATGCTAACAATTACAGTAATATGGCATAGGGATAAATTATCCTACTTGATATGCAAAATTTGTACCAAGAATTAAGTTTGCATTTCTGACTGTACATTGTTATGAAATGGTGTTAACAAATTTGTATAATGGACTGAAAAACTAGAAAATCTTCTAATATGCATCTGAAAACAGTGCTTGAATAGGTAGCATAAAAATGTTTCTGGGATACCATGGTAACATTGAAATAAAATGGCTCCTGCCTCTTCTGATGATGGCTGCCGAGATATCATATAGCATGCTGGGCTAATAGAAAATAAATCTACATTTATTCAAATACAGTCATGTCATCTTCTTCTGGTTGCTGCACAATGGTGGAGGGTGGGGTTTCACTTAACTAGGGCTTATTTTGGGGGGTAGGACTTATATTATGAGCATCCTGAAAAATCATACTAGGCCTTATTTTCAGGTTAGATCTTATTTTGGGGGAAACAGGGTAACACCTAAAAGATAAATTGTAACAGTTACTCTTAAGGTGCCACTATATTTTTGTATTCTGTTGTTTATTTTCCTTTGGTTTTAAAATATCTCTTTGCAATCACAATCAAAACAATGTTACTCCACACAAAGTGGACACCATGGCCATAGCAGAGTTTGGTAGAACTGTTATTGCAGTGTTATTTAAGCTAAGCATCAGGAGCTTCTCTTACAGAGAAATTACTACTTGCCTTGAGAATGGAGAGAAGTAGTTAACAGTATAGTACCTCTGCTGTATCAGGTCAGCTGTTTGGTGTTGCCTGTTCTCCTCTTCATTTTTGCACTGTCATCCAGCAGCCATTTTTTTACAGATTAGAGCAAGAAGTAGGACAGTAAGCTCAAGGTGAAAATATGATCTATGATTATGATAGTGACCAGAACATCCTATGCCAGCTTTGTATTACCAAGCCACGTTAACTTGGGACTATGTATGTGAGAAATAATACTAAGGGTCTGAGTTTACAAGAGGATGTGTCTTGCCTGTTTATATGTTATGGCCAATTTCCTACTACTCCTAGTTAGATCAATTTGTCCAGAAACAGGACTTCTCATGACAGTAACCTGTGATAGAGCGAATGAATTAGAAACTTGTACCACCCTTAGTAGCCATCTGGGCTTCCCATTTTGAGAATCTGTAGCTTGAGCCAGTATTTTCAATTATGTTTTGGGTTGTTGCTATGGGCACTACCCTATGGCAGTCTAGTTTGCTGAAGAGCACACACTAAAGCTTTCAAGCTCATACATCAGACGTTTTAGAAGTTGTTTGTCCTGGGACTGACAGCAACATGTAATAAAGCTTGCAAAATGGTGGAGATGCCACATATTTTTCTCACAGTCATTTGAATCTCATAGCTTTTACTCAATAAAGGCAGAGCTAGCAATACATATAATATACATGCAGAATTGTCTGGTTAATTGTGGATGGAAAAAAGAGTCCAGGACCATGAGTAGACGAGAGTAATGTTTATATAACTATGGTATATTGAAAATAAGATGCTGGCTTCATGTGGTACGTAACCTTCAATTACATCTGTTTTGGGTGTAGGCAGGAGCACTGTGCATATAGATGTCCTGATTTGTCTAGCCGCCTACTGTTGCCTCCAGAGCAAACATTTCACAGAGCTGTGCACACCTTGATCATGGCAGCTAATGCAGTTTGTCAGGTGTCACTGCTGCAGCAGCCCTAAAATTAATTTTTAAAAGGTAACCTAATTAACCTATGGTAATGAATTCCCATAAAGTATTATACAGTACTGCTAGTTCTTGCAGTCTCTGCAGACATGTTTTTGATAAAGCTGCCCCCATCTACTCATTGGATTATAATCCACTTGCAAGTATTTTTTTTTCTGTAGAAAATATTTGAAGATAAGTATCTAATCTAACACTTTGCAGATCATATTTGTCATCTAACCACTCTTCCCCAGAGATGTTCCTTGATAAAAACATTACTTTGTCACTTTGGGATAAACATAAAGGATACATTGGCTTTATAGAATACTGGAAAGAACAAGAGTGAAACAGGAAAGGGGGTCTATGGTAATGGCTACTAAAAGCTTAGATAAGTAAAAGTTAACAAATATTGTGAAATCCTTTTTCAGTATTTCCAGGCAGAGAAACAGTAGATAGGTCAGCCAGCAAAATGAGTCAGCGCAATAGCTCTCCATCAATGGATCAGGGTGGCTCATCATCAGTTAGTGTCAAAGTTTTCAGGTAAGAACATCTCTCAAAGGGTTCCAAGTGAAATGCAAGTGTTGCCTTCCTCATGAGTTGGTGGAGTCAGTATGACTAGTGGTAAGATGTTTTGATTTTTAGATTAAAAAAATAATAATAATAATTTATTGTCATTGTAAGTATATACACAGTATACCCATACAACAAAATTCACATCATGGTATATCAGCAGATTCCCAGCACTGTGGTCAGAGAACAATATATCCCATGTGTCTTTGCAAACTAAGTTCTCTACTAAATGAAAAATGTGCCTTGAAGCAAGACGTGCGACTGGATGAAGACCTCCACAAATATCCCTTTTTTTGGGGGGGAAAGCTTTTTTTGATGGAGCTCTCAGATCCAAATTATTCAGAGGTCTCTCCTTGCTTACAGTTTTTGAAACGTGACTGAACTAGCATGCAAATACATATTTACCATCCTGCATATAGAGAACTTGCATCAGAGGCCTTGAAGGTTGTCCTTGGGGTTATTGATTATCGATAAGTAGTTTGAATGTGAAGCCCTTGTCATTTCAGAATGGAGAGCATTCTTCCTTGAATGCTACTTGGGTTATTGTGATCTTGAATACCCAGAGGAAGCAATTATCTTTCATATGATAATGATGTGGCGATTCTTACATCATTACATGGACTAATCCAGGCTTAATACTCATCCCTTTTTGCCTGAAAACTATTGCTGCATTGGAATTTCCAGATGGGTGACTCCCAAGTCTCACAGAGTTCACAGCATCACAGCTATGTGTAGTTTCCAGAAGAAGGAAGATATAAATTAGTAAAGTGCCAGTACTTGTGATCTCTTGGGCTTTTGCCCTACAGGGAAATAGGTAACTGTTAGTGGTATTTGACCAAATTGAAAGCTGCGTGATTCAGCACTTGTAGCCTACCATGGTTTAACACATTGCATTCAGAAGAAAAATGTACCTGAAAGTACTAATTAATATAAACATGCTTAAGATTGCACTCCAGGGCAGTTCTCTAAACCAGTGGTCCCCAACCATGTGCCTCCGGGTGTTCTTGGACTACAACTCCCAAATAATATAAACATGCTTAAGATTGCACTCCAAGGCAGTTCTCTAAACTAAAGAACAGCTACTGTAAAGACAATCCAGTAAAATTAGTGGGGACTTTAAGTAGTTGATAAGATTAGACACAAATGATTCCCAACTTTAGGTGCTCAGATGTTTTTGGATTACAATTCCCAGAAATCCTGTCCAGTACAGCTAGTGGTGAAGGCATCTGAGAGCCTTAGTCCAGCAACCTCTGGGGACTCAAGGTTGGGAACCTTTGCTGGATTAGAACAGCAATGTTTATATGCTCATTAGCTTCTTAGTAATAGGTGAGATTCCTCTGCTTTATCATTGGTGTTTGTCTATCTCTACAACTGAGTTGTTAGAGAAGAAGATTCATGAATGCCAAGAAAAGAATGAATAATGAAAAATTCATACTTGGAAGAACCTTGCGATACTTACAGCGGTTTAACGATGAGTCTTCCCACTCTAGTAAATAAGAATGGTTGTTAATGGAGAGTGCAGATTATAAAACGTTGTCCCTCATTTATAATCTGGGCTTCCGTGGATGTACCAGTTTCTTTTATTTGTTAAGGGAGAGTGTCCAGAGCTAAGAGATCTTGAACCCTTTTCCAGAATGTCAGCTTCCTAAACCTCCTGGGGAGAATGAGTTACTTAAACCAATTTAAATGTGTTGAACACTCTATAACTGTTGTTATCTAAACTAATGTGCTTTGCTTTTTTAAAATTCTTCCAGGCTTGAGATCACTGAAGGGTCTCCTCCAAAGATCTCGCCCGAGCCAGCACCACCGACCCCAGAACCGGAGCCGGAACCACAACCACCGACTCCTGAGCCAGAGCCAGAAGCACCACCACCACCACCACCTCCTCCACCACCACCTCCTAAACGTATGGCGGAATTAACTGTTGGAATCAATGGGTACGGATTTTTCTTCACATCTTCAACTGCGATTTGTATATCTTATAAGATTCCTGGCCATCAAGTAGATATCTATGGAGAGCTTTTCTGTTTATCATTCAAGGTGCCCCCTTGTTGATGAAAGGAAGTAGAAAGCATCCTTCTCATTTCTTTACTATGCACCTGCAACAAATAGTGTTTTAATAATCAAAATCTTCAGGTTGGGTTAAAGCTAGCAGACTTAATCCAGCAAAGATTCTGCAACCAGAGCTACTAGCTTGGGCTATAGGAACACATGTATAGAGCTAGCAAGTTGTAGATCACTTATCCTTGCTGATCACTTTTTTTAAAAAAAAATCTTTGAATCTACTGCCAAGCAATCTCTCTGTGCAGGCTTATCTGTAGAGAATTTCCTTCTCCCATGAGATCCAGAAATAGAGTTACCAGCTCAGATCCAGAAAAGGACTGAGTCAAAGTATCTCCGGAAAGGCATACGGTGGGTTGAGCACCACTCTGTGTGTGATAATTAGGGGCTGAACTGGATTGGAGGGCCAGTGCATATCTTGGTATGCAGGTGTTGGTGCACTTTGTTTTCTCACAAAGATTATGAAGGGCAGGGGCGGGATACAACTGCAAAATGGTGGCATGAAGGGAGAGCCAGTTGCATCTTGTACTTTTAAACAAAGCCACATTTGAGTAGCATAGGAAACCCTTCTTTGAACATACACTGATGAAATATGGCTTGAAAATACTTATATTTTGAAGGGTGAATTTGATTTAAATCATGATTTAAGTTTTTAAAAAAATCAGATTTTTTGATTATTTAATTTTTTTAAAAAATCATGATTTAAATTGTGGTTTTAATCAATTTAATTTTTAAAAAATCATTAATTTTTATCCACCCTGACATTTTGTTCTCCATTCATGTTTTTGTAATCATTTCCTGATCACAGTAGAGATCAATCCATGTTATTTTCCAGACTGCTTAACTACAAAGAAGGAGACTTTTGTGTATCTATGGGCTTTTAGTGTTGACTTGAACATTGTTTGTTCACACTGTATGAATTGGATACCAATCTTGGAATTGAGTCTTTTCATGCTGAGGAATTTTTTATAGCTTACTACCTGAGACCTATTGATGGAATCTCTTCTGCTCTCTTTAACAGTGTAGAAGAGGTTTGTGGGGTATTTCTACTCTAATGGATTGGTTTATTTGTTTCTGCAGATTTGGGCGCATTGGGCGCTTGGTCCTCCGAGCCTGCGTAGAGAAGGGGATCAAAGTTGTGGCTGTCAATGATCCTTTCATTGACGTCAACTACATGGTAATGGCTTCATTGTGGATCCACCAACTCCATAGGTGTAGTGGCATTTAGACTGAAGGAAGATTTTCTGCAAATGCTGAACTAAATTAAACAGCTGCAACACTAAAGCTTGAAATGAGCTTTAGCATCCCAGAGCTGTGTACTTTATCTGTGGGTTTGCTTCTCAGCTGTTACGACTGTCTATCTTCCGCCAGTTTGTTACAGTACAAGCAAACGGCACTGTGTTTCCACTCATTCTGCTTATATTATGTCAAGACAGAGACTGGCTTTCTGTAAACCACTGGGAAAAAAGGAAAGAGTATGACCGTTGATTAGGCCAAGGGCAGGAAGATTTTAAGGTTATGGATTTCATGTTGTAAATCCTCCAACTCTGGGGTTTACCAGCCAGAACCATGTATGAGACAATGGCTTGGGAAGACAAGAATATAGACTTACAATACTACATTTATTTGATCTAGTTTCTACCCATTCATAGTAGAGTAAATAGTTTTTGCTTCAGAGATCAGACACAGTTGAAAGAAAGGCAGCCATAGCAATAGACCTGGAAATAGTCTTGCATTAAGCTGTTTTGGTAAAAGTGAATATAAAACCTTTTTCATATATTTTTTTATTTTTTAAAAAATTAGAACAGCAAGCCCACTCTTTCACTTTTTTACCACTTCTTTAGAAGCATATCTAGAGAATGAAGGTGGATCCTCATGGCAGCGTTCTGCATGTGGCTTGCTAAGGATCAGAATCACTTAATTGTTCCTGACACCTTAGCACAAAGGTTTCCACCTCTTCACCCGAACATCCACACATTGAACATCACATTTGCAAAAGGGCTTATGGGATGCCAGCTCAGTGTGCATAGCACGATGCATGTAAAACTGGAACCACAAAAACCATTAATCTCTGCCTATCAACATTGGCCTTAGTAAGGTCTGTAGTGTGTTGCTAGTGAGTGGACTCTTGTGTGCACAGTGAGAGAAAGTGATGTGCATGGGACTGGTACTGCCTACATAGGTTCTTCTGTTTGTGGCCAAGAAAGTACAGTTTGTGTTGCCCTGGGTGTGTAAGGAAGAAGGATGACATATAGATCAAATAAATGAATGAAAATAAAGTTAATTAATCTATAATATATTTTTGGTCTGATTCCTGTCTTCCTTCTTAGGTTTACATGTTCAAGTATGATTCCACTCATGGACGTTTCAAGGGAGAAGTGAAGGCTGATGGTGGCAAGCTAGTAGTGAATGGATCAAAAATATCTGTATTCCAGTGGTAAGTTGGAGAAGCGGAAGCAGCGTCTTGATAGCAAGAGTGTCCACTTTTGATTGCAGATCTGCAGAAGGAGTTTCTGACTGAGATGCAGCCAGTTCTGAGATGGCCACAGGAAAGCATGAAAAGCACATGTGTGTGATAAAGAAAAGTGTGTACACCCATGCTTTCAGCCCAGTTTTCCATAAAGTACATTCTCCTTGGTTGTCTGTTGATAAAATATGTTGCCCTTCAACAGGCAATGATCAAAACTAAATGAAGAAAAACCATGTGATGTAATAGGTGAAACGCCTAGCTTGGAGTGGAGAAACTTAATTTCGGAGCCTACTTCCCTATGCAGAGTACTGTCTAGCGAGTCACTGCTTCAAAGGCTCTTAAGCTAAAATAGAGATGACAAACCACACCTGTCTTGAGCTCTTCGAAGAAGCAGGATTTTTTTTTTAAAAATGCAACAGTTGTGTATTTCTTTTTACTTTACTGTTGGTCCTGAGTACAAATCGGGAGGGATCAATAAACCACTTTGGTTTAAAAGGGTTGCTCTGCCTGTGTCTGACTTACTCCTTAAGGCAGTCTGCTGATGTGCTACAAAATGTTAAACCAAGACATTTAGTGCTCAGTGAATACCTGAAAGGATATACAGTATTTGTTTTGTAGACCAGCTGTTCTTGACTTTTTTTTGGCCATGGCTAGAGATGGGCACGAACCAGTGGTTTGTCCTTTGGACAAGCAGATGTTTGGCGGTTCCCAGCCCCACCTCCTTTTATGGGTGCCCACTCAGAGGCCGTGCTCTAGTTTCCCTGCTCTGCCTGCTCCAGGCACTGCCTCTGAGTGGGCGGGCACTTGTCGGAGGTGGAGCTGGAAAGCCGGAAACACCTGTTCGTCTGAAGCAGTCCGGTTTGTGCCCATCTGTAGCCATAAACGTGATATGAAGAAAAGACAGGCCAAATCAGGATTGTATAGGTCAAATAATGGACCTTATAAGGTGGGGTGTGAAGAATTGTTTCCAGTCTGTGAGTCCCTTCAAATGTGCCAGGGCCTCCCAGGGGACCACATGCTCCCTATTGAGAATGGCTGCTCTAGACTCTGTCAGTCCACTTGCCATACATGAAAACTAAATACTGCAACACGCATCCAGCTGCTGGCAAAAAAATTCTACCTAGCATCCCAAGTTTAGTTCACAGTCCACATGTGTAGCAGAAGCATGAACCTGGTATGTGCATGCGCACAGGGAAATAACATTTTTTCTGTCAGTATATGAATAAGTTATCTGAGATTTTTATAAGGCACAGGGAAGGAGTAAAAACACTACATTATGTCTTGTTGCAGTCTTAATAACTCATGTCCAGCAATTAAATGGCATGTGGTCTCTGAAAATATTGAATTAGTACACAGTACAGCAACAGTTTATTCAGTATAGTCATTTACTACTTGACTCTTGGTCAAGAGCTTTAAAGAGGAATAATCTTTCCTGTTTTGTCAGGTGATTGGACTAAGTTCCTTAGGATCTCTTCCATCTTTACTTTTTCATGGGGCCAGCTCTCCTGGAATTCAGCCTGTACATGACCACAAAGCCATATACCTTCCCTGACTGTTGATAATTTTCCCCCTCCCCCTTTACATCTCTGTCTCTTAAACTTCCTTGAGTAGAAGCTTGTTAAGCAGCTACTGGTAAAAGAGTTATGCTTTTCTTTCTCTCACAGCATGAAACCAAATGAGATCCCCTGGGGTGAAGCAGGAGCTCTGTATGTAGTGGAATCAACTGGGGTCTTCCTCTCTGTTGAGAAAGCTTCCGTGAGTATTTGGTGGTCTCAGCTGTGTAGTTTACTCAGAAAAGAGAAGCAATGGTCAGCCCCCACCCCAGCCCCTTGTGAAGTTGTGCTGGGCTTCCCTACAGACACTGGATTTCTAAATGAACTGCCATAGATCTTTGTTGTGCTGGAGCATGCAATGTATTTCCATTGCTGTTTCAATGCAATATGTGTAGGGGAGGGTTGGCCTTTGGAACTTGACAAACTTCTTTTACAGTCTCATCTGCATGGTGGAGCCAAGCGAGTGGTGGTCAGCGCGCCATCCCCCGATGCTCCTATGTTTGTGATGGGAGTCAACCATGAAAAGTATGATCCGTCGACTATGAATATTGTGAGGTAAGACTCATCAGCTGGGGCGGAGAAGCATTTAATTGTACCAGTGTAAAAGTGGATGATGCCTTTCACCACTGAACCGCCAAAAATATCAAACAAATTGCAAGCTTTTGTGGAGAAAATTCCACTGCACAACCCCTTCACGGACAGCGTAGAAAAACTAGACAAGAGCCCAAAAATGGATGGTTACATATCTGTGACAGATGATATCAGTCCTCTTGAGGTTGCAGTCTTAATTGTAGTATCATTTCAGGTGCAGACTTCTGTGGCTCCTGTTGAGGGGATCTTTATTCCTGTCTTGGGGTGTAGGAATGAATAATTGAGTGTGCAGTTAAAGCCAGAAGGAATAAAGTTGGAGTCCAGATGGACTATGTTGTACAACAAGGAGTTGGTGCAGGTTATATAGTAGATTCAAAGTGGAATCTTGAGTGCACGACATACAGTATAATGTCTGGAGAACCACTAGGAAAGGCTGCAAGTGGGACAATTTAACCAACAGTCAAAAGTTGGCAGTATGTATCCTGCCTCAAAACTGAGGGCAGCAAGCCAAGGGATTCTGGCAGAGAAGGTGGAGGATGGGAGTTTTGAGAATACACGAGGCTTGGGTTTGAGGCGATGGGTACTTCATTTGCACTTATAAGCATAGATCTGTGTGGCAAGCATTTCATTTTATGTATTAAACTGGGACTGTAGTCAGTAAAATGGACCGGTTGGGTGATCGTTTAGTTGTAATTACAGAAGAACATCAAAGCAGGGAGCAGAATAAAAGTCTTAATATAACATTCCTGCTTGCCTTTCAGCAATGCTTCCTGCACCACCAACTGTCTGGCACCTTTGGCCAAGGTCATTCATGACAACTTTGGCATCTTGGAGGGCCTTATGGTAAGAAAAATGCAAAATTCTCCCCACAAGCACAGCTTAAGAAACAAGAGCAGGACTTCTTTCTTCTAACAAAACTCTGAGTATTGTCACTGCTGGGTTAACCTGGTAACAGGATGATTGAGAAGACACGGATTTTCTCATGAAGCAGAGTGTGCACTGTTTTTTCTCATAGTGGTGTGTAGAAACATGGAAATAATTCACAAAAATAATCTTCAGAACAAAATTATTGTAGCTGTCTATTGGTTCTTAAATGCCAGTTTCTCATATAAGATCTTGGGATGTTAAGTCTAGCCAATAACAGCCTAAGGATGCTGAGAGCTTCAGTCTGTCACAAAGATGGCCAAATTGAAGTTTCTGTTACTCCTGTTTTTTGCTTATGGATAATCAAGATGGCAAAAAGCAAACTTTGGTATTAGGTAAGACAGCTCAGTCTTCAGGTTTCATATTGTGAATTAACTCTAATTTATATTCTATGAGGTTAATGTGCAATAAAACAAATGTTTATAAACTATCCTTCTATATGGAAAAATGTTTTAGATTTCCAGAAAAAAAATTGGCTTGTTATATCAGAAACTAGTCTAGAAAACAGGTCTTTCATGTCAGTTTCTGTACAAATCGGCTTCTTGTACTTGCAGACCACCGTTCATGCTTATACTGCCACACAGAAGACTGTAGATGGCCCTTCTGCCAAGGCTTGGCGAGATGGAAGAGGAGCTCACCAGAACATCATTCCAGCTTCTACCGGTGCTGCAAAAGCCGTGGGCAAAGTCATTCCTGAGCTTAATGGGTATACAATATTAAGTTATCCTTGGAAGCTACCAGAAATGTTTTCTGCCTTTATCTCTGGTCACCATGGTTCTCTGGTACCTAGGATGCCTTAACACGGTGTTTCTAATTGCGCTTCGGTGTTGCCATGGAGAAAAGGAGCACTCCATTGTCCACTCTTAGAGAAATTGCTTGAGGTCCTCAGAATATTTCTTCCCTGATCTCTTGTGCATTGCCTTTCTGATAAGAGCCATACACGTGGAGCTAGCATGATTTTATCAGTTCTTCATTTAATTCTCTGGCATAAAAATGTAATCTGCAGTAGGGCAGTTGACAAGATTATTGCATTACTTCCATGTTTTCCTAAGAAATACATCAGATAGAGTTTAATGTCCTATCTCACTTTCCACAGAAATTAAAAATAGCATATTTAAGTAAACTTGAAGTTAATATCCTCTCTTAATGACTCAACTTGCTTTTAACAGGAAACTGACTGGGATGGCATTCCGTGTGCCGGTGTGCGATGTCTCGGTTGTTGACTTGACATGCCGCCTCTCCAGGCCAGCCACCTATGCTCAGATCAAAGAAGCTGTCAAGAAAGCATCCAAAGGACCAATGGCTGGGATCCTGGGATATACAGAAGATGAGGTGAGTGGATAGTCTTCTTAGCTGCATCAGATGTGGAAGGTAGGGAACGTCCGAGGCTACACCCGTGACATAGTTATAGGCATGGGTCCATCTGACTTGCTACAGTTTACTATGATAAGATGATGGAGTCTTTGATTTTGCATTTCTAAGCGGCATTGTGTGTCATCTAAATTTGAACAATTTGTTGTTCTTAGTAAAGAATTAATCTTTTTGACAACATACATCTATGCGCTGTCTCTAAAACAGCACATTGATCAGACAAATATGCCTGGTGGCAATGAGAATTCCTGCACATTCTTGACCCTGAGGTCCCATGATGCTGCTTTGATCTCTGCTGCCAAGAGCCTTTCATTTTTCTTCATATACAATGTGATTCCCATCTTTCTTTCAGGTTGTTTCTACTGATTTCATTGGTGACAATCGTTCCTCTATCTTTGATGCTGGAGCGGGGATCGCCCTCAATGATAACTTTGTGAAGCTCATCTCCTGGTAAGTATGCATGGGGGGGTCCTCTTGTCTTCCAGCTGGTTCACTTCTTCATCAGTGGAACAATATTGGTGCATTGCTTGAGAATCCTCCCCCTTGAGATTTCATTCCTTGTGCCAGTGGTTCTCAACCTTGGGTCCCCAGATGTTTTTGGGCTACAACTGCCAGGAATCCTGGCCAGCACAGCTAGTGATGAAGGCTTCTGGGAGGTTTAGTTCAATAATATCTGGGGACCCAAAATTGGGATCCACTGACTTATCCAGACCTTTTTTGTGATACTACTGACATTGGAAGACAGCCATAACTAGTATGGAACATTCCTTTTTCTTTTTGATTGACTAACAGCTGGGCATCTGTATCACTTAATATCCACATTTAAATGACAAAAGATACATTAGGTTGAGTGGAGGGTAGAGAAAAATTCTCTAAAATTCATACATCCATAATGTAAGATGAGGATCTCAATTCTCTATCAACTTATAAAGCACANGTCTGAAGACTGTCTCCCAATCCACTCTCTAAACGCTGAGAGGAGTGAGGAAGCAGACAGGCACCCTTTTCACTGGCCAACAATTAACTGAAAGTTCAAATTTTGCACTTTCCCTGCCTCCCACGTGGTTTTTTTTCAGTTCTTAACTCAAATCTAAGTATGTAAGTCAAGTCAATATTTTCCTATGAGAGTGGTTCTTAAGTCAAAATGTTCTTAACTCAAGCCGTTCTTAAGTCAAGACCCCACTGTATAAAGCACCTTCTGTTGTAGGACCTTAGTAGCCACTGACTTGCATGAGTAAGGAGGTCGGAGTAAGAAGATTGCTTATGACTATCTTTCTCTTCCATAGGTATGATAACGAATATGGCTACAGCTGCCGTGTAGCAGATCTCCTGAAGCATATGTTCACCAGGGAGCAAGACTGAACACTGCCACACTTCACGTTGCAGGCTGTCTAACAGAGAAGCCTCGCCCCTTTAGTCAATAGTTTTGATCTCCTGGCCAGTTCTTTGCTTCAACCACAGAACCCTAAACACTGCACTTTGTGTATCACTTGTAAAGCTTTATGTGTGTACATGTGAGTGTGAATCCTGCTTTCCACAGCAGCTTGTATGAGCTTAAAAACTGTAGTGAAGACAAAACTGCACCAGATTCCCCCTGAAGAAAAAGGGTCTAACCTCTGGGGTTGTGCATTGGTTTGTGTGGCTGTAGTGTCCTTGAGATCTTGTAAGTGTTAAAATAAAACCACTGAAGTTACGTGAACCGGGAAATGTTCTTCCGATTGCCTGAACTCCTTAGCAGTTCACAAATCCAGATTTGGACTGTACCAAACATCCAGTTTTATAAGTCTTTGACATCTTTCAGAGATCAAAAATGCTGAGAAGTGTTGCCCATCCTATGCCCTTTCTGACCAAAATGTCCCATTTAGTGGGAGAAGAAAGATCAAAGTCCTGATTTGCTTTTCTTTGGGATCTAAATGTGAGATTTCTAGTCTGACACTTGCTGTACGTTCCTGTAGAATTAAAAATAGGAATTCACCTTAAACTGAGTCATACCATCGATCTCTCTAAGGAAACACCATCTATCCACCAATGCTTGGAACATTTATTTCACAATTTCCATAATCCTGCAGCCACGGTGATCTTGCTGACCAAGGGATTTGAAAAGTTGAAGGCAAAACTCCCTTTCCAAACTGCTATATATGCTGACTGACAGTGACTGTTCTGGTATTTCAGAAAGTAAACCTTTTCCAGCCCTGTCTAGAGGTGCAAAACTTGGAAGTTTAGCAGTCCTTAATATTTTCTGTTTATTTCATTTCATTGGTTTCCTGTCTTTCTCCCAATCCAGGGATCCAAGGTGGATTACAAATAGGAAGAGCAAATACATGAATTATAATATTAAAAATGCAATTGCACATGTAATGACAGTAAAAGACCATTAGCAACTGTAACTCATTCGTTCACATAAAATCTGCCTGAAGAAGAAAGTCTTTGCCTACCAGTGGAAGGACAGCAATGAGCTAACCTCTTGGAGAAGTGAGTTCCACAGCCTGGTGGTTTTATGTTACCACTTGCTACTTTGAGCCAGGAGGCACAACTTGGTATCTGATGAACAACGGACTGAATCATTGCTAGCCCTATTCTCTGAAAAAATTGGGAGTGCCTTTAAAGCTATGGAGCCTCATGACTGCAATGTTGTGCGTTAGTTTCTGGCTGGTAAATGCCTTCATCTTACCAGTTGCTACAGTAGGTCCAAATAAATTGGATCTGCACAGGCCAGCTTTCTGACCAAAGTCATTCAGCATCCGTAGAGAGTGGCCAAGTCATTTCAGCTCCAGAGGCTCTCTCCCTGGGAGGGATCATTTGCTCTTGGAACTGCCTTAATGGAGTCCATTGTTTAGCTCTTGTATATTTTCAGGAGGTGGCGTTTTTGGCAGATGCTTTTTGCCTCCAACGTAGGATGGAATGCACTCTTAACTCTGCAAACTCAGACCATAATCCTGTGAAGTTGTTTGCGCCATCTTAGTGCAATTGTAGGAGTAGCAATATGCCAACACAGTACCCAGATCTTCACTAATTAAATGGTAGCTTTGTTTTAACTGCAGGGTGCAAATCAAAACAGACGAGCCCTTTGGGATTCATTGAGTGGTGGAACTTAGAGGATCCCCTAGGTTCTGAATGCAAAAAATGGCTGCTACTTGAAGTCTAAGGAGCCGAAATTAGGGGGGGGGGTATTAAAAATTTTAGTTTGAGGCTATCAGGTGGCCTTGGGGGCTGCAAAAATCCCCCTGAGGGGCTACATGTGGCCTGTGAATATCTCTTTGCCCACCCCTGATGTAGAGAGAGTAAAAGGCTGGGATTCCCTTGAGACTTTTTGAGGGTCTGAGGGCAGGGTTGGACCGATTAGAGGCAAATGGGAATCGGGGAGCTTTAGAGGACCCCCTCCAGGCAGCTGATGCAAAAACCCATTCCTAGAGGCCTCCTGAAATGGAAATGTGGATAATGGGAAGTGGTGGAGTGGCTTTGGGAGCATCAATGGATGCCCCCTTAGGGCTTCATGTTGCCCAGCTCTCCTCTAACGGGTGAAGCACTTCACGGCATCTTCTTTTGCTTGCAAAAACTGGAAATCCGAACGGCTGCTGTTCTTGCAGGATTACAACCTGGGTGAATATCCAGTTCTTTGTTATTTCCTTTGTCCAGCTTTCCAGGACGGTAAAGCAACACAAGCATGCTTTCCACAGGGTTCCGTTGTTGCAAGGGAAAGGGTGTTATCTGAAACACAAGAGATATGAAAAGCCAGGGTGAAAGAAGAAAGCAAGTGAGCATCTCTTCACCTTTCCTTTTCTGGAAGAAGAGCTGAGAACGTTCCCTACAGCAGTCATAGCATCCCTGTTGTAACTTTTAAAAAAACCACAAAAATCTCATTGAAGAAATTCTGAGATTGAGAAACGAGGAAGGAAGCAGAAGGGACAGACTCAGCTCTGGGGCTGTTGTGCACAGGAAGGATAAGCTTAAGTGGGGAGTCCTCTTTAAGAAGGGCAAGGAAGGAATTATCCAACCAGGTCAGATGAAGGAGGGAGGTGCCTTGATCCAGCTTGAGTGTTTTTCAGTCCTGCAGCTGGTCTCTGCTTGTGCTTGAGCTGCATGCATTTATTTTGTACTAGTGCATTCGACAACAGACTCTAATGGAGAACTGTGTAGCTCAATGATAAAGCAAATGCTTTACATATAGAAGGTTTCAGGTAGGGATGCACGTTTCAGTTTATTTGAACTACAAATCCCATCCTCCTCTCAGGGCATCCCACCCACAGGTCTCCCCGAATTGCACTCACCTTTGGGGAAAGGCCCAGTTGGCAAGCTTCGTGCCATGGATAGGCCTACCGTCCTGCTTGAAACAGAAGCTGTCTTGATGGTAGCTGGTGATTGACTCAAGTCAACAGGTAGGGCAAGCCGCTGGATTAGAATGGGGTAATTTTGATGGGCCTTTCTAATGCTGTTATTCTGTGACAGGTCGACATGCAGCTTTCCAAGTGTTACAGGTGTGCAATGTCATCAATATTGATTATGCTGACCGGGGATGATGGGTGTCGTAGTCCAGCAACATATGGGGTTTTGCTTTACCACCCTTAGTCTATTACATTTAAAAGAAATAGAATCTAATTTAGCATGAACAACTTTGCCAGATATGCTTGGCGAACAGATCCCAACACCTCTAGATAGCATGTACAATGTGAGGAATTATAGGAGCTGTAGTCCAGTGTGGTGTAGTGGATGGAGTGATGGACTAAGAGGAAGTCTGGGTTTGAATCCCAGATCAGCCATAGAAGCTTTCTTGGGGTGTAGAACTGGTAAAACCACTTGGTAACTATTTCACGGCGAAAGCCTTATAAGTTTTTTTCTGATTTAGTGGCACATAACAAGGCAGGAGGAGAAGGGCATGACAGAGGACAAGATGGTTGGACAGTGTCATCAAAGCGACCAACATGAAATTGACCCAACTCCAGGAGGCAGTGGAAGACAGGAGGGCCTGCCATGCTCTGGTCCATGGGGTCACGAAGAGTCGGACACGACTACCAACAAGAAGTCAAAACGTGCTTGGAGTCCCATTGTTGTACACTCTTCTGATAGTACAGTTGCAAATACTTAAAGAAATGCATTTAAGGGAGTATCAGTCCCTCTTCTAATTTCTGAACTTCCCTAGATATGAATCCTAGTAACTCTGGCAGGGTTGCTTCAGTGTTTGTGGTTGGAAAACATGTGTTTTTAATATAGAACTTTTTCAGTTTCCTCTCTGCCCAGAAGATGGAAATGCTAAGCTACTTCTGAGTATGCTATATCTTTAAGAAAAAAACTGATAGTCACTACAATTTGGAATCAACTTGATGGCACTTAACTGTTATTATATAAGCCCTATCACGTTTATAATACTGTGGGAAAATGGTGTTTTTGTGTAGTTTCACCTAGAGGCAGTTTCTGTCATCAGACACACGCCGTTTAAGGTCACCATTTACCATCGTGGTGCTTTGTATAGGAATGTGGTGGCGCAGGCACATGATCCACTTAGGTAATCACGTCAGCCTGACAATGGGGTATTTTAACAGGGAGATAAAAATGGAACCAGATTATTTTTTTATGAATGGCATACACTTACGATCAAGCAAAGCGCTCAGTATCTACATCCTAAGGTGACCTACCCTATGCACCTAGCTCAGCTCATGAAGCAGATTAGGGGATTAGCATCCTCATTAAATGGCATTCTTCTAACCTGTTCGTAATCAAGGCACAATTATGCTGGAGGTTACCTGGGTAGACAAGCAGATAAAGTGTCCTTAGCAGAGCAGACGCAGGGATATGTTTCCTCCTAACACCTTTTATTCTTATATCAAGGATAACTCTTGTATTGTCACCTTTTGCATATTTACCTTGGGCTACTGCAAAAGTAAAGAAAATATTTCCTATGGTTGGGAACCATGTAGCCCTGGAGATGAGTGTGATTAGGGAAGACATAATTATCAGAGGTCAAAACTTAATATCAAAATATGTAGGTTCTTGTGGGCAGTCCTGGCTCCAGATTCTAAGAGAAAAGTATGGCCACTGGGACCTAGAGATCAGAATGACAGCTGCACGATGTGCCGGTCTTGGAAGCCTGAATGAATAAACCTTAGTGACAACCACGTGATAAACGATGCAGTATCTTCTGAAAATTACAGTTGCAGTAAAAAGGGACACAAAATCTCATGACATCCCACAGTCTAAACATCTTCTTTATTCAGGATGTTTTTGTTGACATGAACCTACTGCTTCAGATACGTACATATTTTTTGAGTATGTTTACGACATAAAGACTCATTTTTAAATTCTAGAGGCAGCTAATATTTCGAAGATGGGGTTGATGTGACCCTCCAGGTGTTGCCAGATGGCAGTTCCTATCAGCTCCAGCCAGCATCACTGACATCTGGAGGGCCTTGCGTTTGCATCTGTGTAATAACAGGTGCACTTCTCCAGCAGATGAATCAACTGGAGAGAAGGCTGAATTATTTGTTTCACATTTTCTGCAAACAAAGCTCCTGCTGGAGTGTTTAAAAAAAAAAGAGGGGGCATGTTATCACACAATTGGTAGTTGATTTTGAAAGGAAAGCCTTGCTTTGAAGCAACCTGGTCTAAGAAAAATCGCAAGGGAGAGGCTGCTGGGTGGAAGCAAATGTTTGCGCCAGCAGGCAGGGAAGAGTTGCTGGCCGAAGCAGAAAGATGGGAAGGACCCCTCGTGGTGCTACGCTGAACCCAACCCCTCTGATCCTTCAATCTCCGCCTTAATAAATGGGTCAGAGATAATCTCTCTTTATGTAATGGGATTAGGCATAAGGAAGAGAGGGAGGGAGGATCCTGTACAGGCCATTATGGCCTCATTGGGGAACATCTGGCTACGCTAGGGTGGGTTTAGCTGTCTTTAAACTTTGGAAAGGCTGATTGTGAGAAAGAAAACTAGCAACGCAGACAATGCTAGACTGGAAAAATGTGACTTCCAGTTTTGAGCATTCATTTAATCTCCATTCCCAGATGGCAACGGCATTCCCAGGCTCAAATGCAAAGGTATTTGTCTGTACATTGCGCATAAGATGTTTCTCTACATAAACAGGTACACACACTTGATGCTGCATTCAGTACACAAGGGCCATCTGTAGATATAAGGGCTGACGTCCTATCATCCTCTCATCCCCCTGAAACCTCAGGAATTGAAATGCTGCTGGATTAACAACCTACCCTTAGAACTGGTGTGATTTATTTGTGCCTGTTTTGAATTTTTTGGAGCCCTCTGGTTTGCTACTCAGAAATAAATCCTTCTGAATTCCATGGAGTTTATCCCCTGGGTAACGCCACTGCAGCTTCGCAAAACAAAAGTGAATTTTTCTTCATCAGAAGAACAAAATATTATTTGCAGTTGGCATTTATCTATGTCGATGCAGAAAAGAGAAATGCACTGTGGCTTTTTATTCATCCCTCCTCGCGTCACTAGAAAGCATAGCGCCCGTTTGTAACCGCAGTTTCTGCAAACAAACAAACAAACAAAAAAACCCGTTTTCCTAATCCCCAATGCATTAATTGGAAGCTAGGACTCCCAAGAAATACAATTCCCGCCATGCAATGCAGATCCGTGTTGCGATGACAACACACGGTGGTTCCCAGAATGCACTGCTCTGAAGCTCCATCTCTGCTCCCTCCTCCGCCTTGGCGCAATGCACTGTGGGGAATCGTATTGCTTTCGTTCGCCCTATGGAAGGCGGAAGAAGCAGGGGGAAGGACACAGGCGAGAACTACAATCCCCACAATGCAATTAGGACGCCGCGGCGTCTCAGGACGCATGCGCGTATGGGATAGGAAGGAAAGACGTGTGGATCCAGTGAGTATCCGCGCCCACTGGGGAGAAAGAGGGGTTACGGGAAGGACGATGGGCTATGTAGTGAGCGGAGAGGGAGGTTCATCTAGAAGGCGACTGGGTTCTCTTTGTCTTGGTGTTATTATTTGACTCCTGTATGCGGTGTTGCACGTGGTGGTTTCAAAGTGATGTGAGCGAAGGGTAGGTTTCTGCCCCGAGGTGCTTACCATTTACTGTAAGTACGATGCAGGCACCCGCGGCCCTCTTGAACTACATCATCCATCGGCCTTAGCCACTGTAGCGAGGAAACATGGGGGAGAAGATGCAGTCCCACCAACCCCCTACTCCCGCCCCCCAAAAAAGCCCTTGAAGCCGGCAAGTCACGAGTTAACCCATCCCGATGGGCAGGGAGGGCTGTTGCAAGGGGCAAACCAGCAGCGGCCAGTAAGTTCGACCGCACTTACTCCCAGGGAAGTGAGTGGTATCCTGTTGTCAGGAAGGAAGATGGACCACCTTAGCCTTTGATGAATCCCTGTCCTAGCTATACTTAGTCTCAGTTTTCCTCAAGTGGGTTCAAAGGGGGGTGCCTGGTTCTCTTCCTCCCTGCCTTAGTCATGTAGCAACTCAGGACCCGGGGGGGGGGGCAGACTGGGACAGAGGGGAAGTGACTGGTCCAGAAATTGGCCGGTGGGGACTGGAACCGAGATATCCCATGTCCCATCTTCTTGTTGTTCTAGCTTTGGGCTGGAAGCCAGATTACATGGGTATGTGCAGGATGAGGCCTCTGGGGAGGTTGGGGGTATGTGGCAGACAGTGCTCCTGATTTATGTCTGTGTTTCCCCTTCTCCTTCTTTCTTAACCTTTACATGGGTATGTGCAGGATGAGGCCTCTAGGGAGGTTGGGGTGTGTGGCAGACACAGTGCTCCTGATTCATGTCTGTGCTTCTCCTTGTCCTTCTTTCGTAACCCTCTTTGTCTCCTCCTTTCCCAAGGAACGCCCTATGGTGGAGAGAAGGCCACCTCCGGGTCCCAGTTCTGAGCCTTCACCCAACTAGCCTGGCACCGAGATGACCCTCTTCCATTTTGGGAATTGCTTCGCCCTGGCCTACTTCCCGTATTTCATCACCTACAAATGCAGTGGCCTGTAAGTTCTGAGGAAGGGGAAGAGATGGATGAAAATAGTAATAAGGTGGTGATGTTGACACAGGGAGGTTATGTCCAGGCTGAGATTGAAATTTTGAGTTTCACCCAAAACTTTTGCTTCCTGAGGTTTTGCTTCCTGAGGGAGCAGATGAATTGTATTTTAATAGTGTTTACTGGATAGCACCTTTCAACTGAAAGCAGAAGAGTAATCTAGGGGGTCTGGGAAAACTGATTTGCCATTACTTTGGCCACACGAGAAAGATGGCAAGGCTTCTGTACTTCTAATAGGAAAGAGGGATTTTTTTTTCAGAAGATGTATCTTTTCATCCAAAGTTCCATGACTGAAATTCCCTCCGTTTCCTAGGTATAGAGTACTGATGATTTATAGTATTCAGCAGTGTTTGACAGTCTCTTATTCTGGTGGTTCTCATAGAATCATGAAGTTGGAAGGGGGGCTATAAGGTCATCAAGTCCAACCCCCTGCTCAAGGCAGGAATCCAAATCAAAGGGTATCTGTCAGGTAGTTGCCTAAATTTCTCTTGAATGCCTCACTCTTGAGGTAATTCATTCCATTGCTGTACTTCTCTAACAGTTGGGAACTTTTTCCTGATATTCAACTGAAATCTGACTTCTTGTAGCTTGAGCCCATTGTTGCATGTCCTGTGCTCTGAGTTGATCGAGAACTGATTCTGCCCCTCCTCTGCATGACAGCCTTTCAAGTATTTGAAAAATACTATCGTATCACCCCTCAGTCTTCTTTTCTCATAGCTTAAGGCACAATTGATTTGATGGTGCATCATGATGATGAAGATGATGATTAGATAAGAGGGATTAGCATAGTGCTTTAGAAATAGGGCAGCTGTGCTGTCTCCTTAAGCATAGATCGTCTGACATACCCCTCCCTTTATTTCCAACTCTTTCAGGTCAGAATATAATGCCTTCTGGAGATGTGTCCAGGCTGGAGCCACCTATCTCTTTGTTCAACTCTGTAAGGTATTGGGTTACTTCTTTGCTATCCTTGAAAGTAAGGAAAGCAGTGTAAGCCCTGTGAGGCCCATTGCAAAGGACCATGGAGGTGCTTCTAATGCTTTTTTTGTAAAACCTTTGAGCTGGTGAGCAACTTTAAAGTGGATGTTTTGATTCTAAATGAAGCTGCACATACAACAAAAGCATTCACAAAGACGGAGAACATACAAAGCCTGAACAATTCAAATTGTCGGCCTGCCTGCCTGCCTGCCTGCCTGCCTGCCTGCCTGCCTGCCTTTCTTTCTTTCTTTCTTTCTTTCTTTCTTTCTTTCTTTCTTTCTTTCTTTCTTTCTTTCTTTCTTTCTTTCTTTCTGTCTGTCTGTCTGTCTGTCTGTCTGTCTGTCTGTCTGTCTGTCTGTCTGTCTTTGCTTTAACATAGCAAGCAAGAAAATAAACAAATAGTTACAAATTAACATGAAATTGATTACTTCTAAAATAAATCAATTTGGTTGAAAGTCAGGAGCAGTAATTCTCAGTTACCATCAGATTTTTTAAAATCTTGGCTACCAGGCTAAGAATGGTCCTGAAGACTGAACAAGACCATTACTATCTGTTGGGCTGAGTACTGTATGTACATTAGCCTTTTATGCTTCCTGTGTTGCTGACCTGTCTGTCTGTCTCTCTCTCTCTTACAGATGCTGTTTTTAGCAACATTCTTTCCCACCTGGGAGGGTGGTGCAGGTGCTTATGACTTTGTTGGAGTAAGTTCAGTTCTGTGCAATGGGCAGGGATCGGCAGGTGCCATTTCATACGATTGTCAAATGATCAGCACACTGGGGTAGCTTCTGTATGAGCAAAGATGAACAAGATGAAAATATTAACTTATTTCAGAATGCTCTGAGCTGGGGAAGATTCGGTTGTTTTAAACTGGAATTTGCAGAACTACTTAGCCAATGTGGCTGTGCTGGCTTGGAGGTTCTGTCAACTGTAGTCCAAAAAAACACAACTTTGTGCTCTGGTTTATTGCCTCCATTGCTGTAAAAAATGCCCTGCAAAAATTAGCACAAGAACACAAAACAGGCTGTTCCTAAGCTGGAGGTTGCCTTCTGTTTTCTTAAAAGACTTAAATAAATCTATACTAGTTCAATTGCCAATAGTAATAGTACTTGCTCCAAGTACTTTAGTATCACCTGTTGTAGGCACTCATCCTTGTAATAATTGTTTTGGGGGACAATGTAACATGACGGCTGTTGGTCTTAGGATATTGGGGAATTCATTGAAGCCAGAGAGATTCCCTTTCCACAGCTGACTCTGAACTTTTTTCTCTTCTGCCAGGAGTTCATGAAAGCCACCGTGGACTTGGCTGATCTGGTCGGATTGCACCTGGTCATGTCCCGGAACGCAGGGAAAGGGGAGTACAAGATCATGGTGGCTGCCATGGGATGGGCCACGGCTGAACTCATCATGTCCAGGTCAGTTGGGTTTGCAAGAGACAGGTTGGAGAGCCAGAGGCAGGTCACTATGCTAGTTGAAGTTGCTAATCTGAGAAACATAAGTGTCAGCATGGGAGACTCTGATGGAGAGAGATGTGCCCTTCCATCATAGACATTGACGACAACATTGCCAGCCCGGAGTCCATGTTCATTCATCTGGATCAACTCGGTGGAGGGATATTTAGTCCTTCATGTATCTTGGGCAATAGCTCCCACTTGTCCTTTATCACTGGCTAAACTGGTTGTGGCTTCTGGGAGCTAACGTGCAAAACATCTAAAGGGGGTCACAGATTTTTTTTTCCATTTCTGAAACAACCAACAGCTTCTACACTGAGGCCAAAATCCACCTGCTGAACTCAGCTAGAATAGCTGACAGAATGAATTAGTTTCTCAATGGTGAGTCAACACTTATGTCAATTCCATAAATTCACTGCTTCTACTCTAGTTGGAACAACCCACTGGATTCAAGCGTTTTTTAATGAAACCACTACTAGATTCTGACTTTATGAGTTGAGTGTCTCCTTTTCCAAACATCTGCTAACTAGAATAGCTTTTCTCATTTGATTAATATAAAGAAATGTGTATATATATGTGGGTATACTTACAGACGCAAACAATGTATATTTGTCAACCAACAACTTACAATGTATACATTTCCCCCCATCCCATATAAACTCTTAGCCTTCACCTTCTTCTTATCAACACATCACTTGTATATTTCTTTGTCTGGGTTTTCCCCTTCTGACAGATAAGTTTAGAATATGGGAAGTTTAGAGCAAATGTTACAATTTTGTCACCCAAACAATGCCTAAATAAGTATATATGGATGTTTAAAGCTCGGCACAAGCAAAGTCCATCTTATTACAGAGGTTGGAAATGGACTTTGTCCCAGGGAGCAAATTCTTAACAAGTTGCTGTAGATCGTGATTTCTAGTGGCTTATTGACAAAAGAAGCAGGCTCTTCACATATTCAGAGAAACTTCTCTCGGATGCAGGTTCCCAGGCTGTGACCTGTAAATCTTCATGATACATCACTTTGTGTTCATAAAGTGTGCTGTTCTTATCATTAAGTTTAATTTTGAAAGTGGGAAAATGATTATGACTGTTTTTGTTGTTATGTGCCGTTAAGTCTCTTCCAATGTATTGCGACCCTATGAATGAGCCCTCTCCAAGATATCCTGCCCTCAACGGCTTGCCCGGATCCTGTATACTCAAACCTGTGGATTCTTTTAGAGAGTTAGCCCATCTCTTACATGGTCTTCCTCTTTTCCTGCTGCCTTCCACCTTTCCCAGCCTTATTATCTTTTCCAGAGAATTCTGCCTTCTCATAATGTGCCCAAAGTAGGAGAGCCACATTTTCAAGATTTTGGCCTTAAGAGATAGTTCAGGCTTGATTTGATCTAGGACCCACTGGTTTGTCATCCTGGCAGTTCAGGCTATCCACAAAGCTCTCCTGCACCACATTTGAAACATTTTTTTTTCTCCTGTCAACTTTCTTTACTGCCTGGATTTCACAACCACACGTGGTGATCGGGAATACAAGAGTGTGGATGATCTTGGTCTTCGTTTCCATCTTTACACTTGATGATCTTTTTAAATTCCTTTATTGCTGCCTTCCAAGTCTCATGGCTGATAGACACCGATAATGTTCAGTCCTTGGCTAGGGGAGGAAGTTTTGGATCTTGCTTTTTGGGGTTTGGCATTCCTTTCTTTTGGTATAATTTATAGCATGCACGAGTTGATTCTGATAAGTCACCATGTTTCCTGTAGGTGTATCCCCTTGTGGGTGGGAGCTCGAGGCATTGAGTTTGACTGGAAATACATTCAGATGAGTATTGACTCCAACATCAGTCTGGTAAGTGCTAATTCTGCAGCCGCTGGTTATCAGCTTATTTTCATCATCATTCCAGATATGAGTAGGGGACAACACCGAGGGCTGTAGACTTGGTGACAGTGTTTCCTAATAGTTTGTTGCTTCTCATGTCCTCACCCCTCACTTATTTCTCAATGTGGCAGAATGTCTCATTCCTGAAATGCGCTTTTCAAGTCCTCATACTGTATGTTTGGCCTGTGATTTGGTGAAATTCAGTACATACTTTTACAGATGAATTCAGATACAAGTGAAAGTGTGATTAAATTCTGATTTCACTTGTAGGGGTTTTTAAAAGAATTTGAACCACTGAGACTGAACTAGT